GCAGTTGACAAACACATGCTCAACGTAGTCCATGTGGTTTGTTTCGGGATTTCTTAACCCGACGCTATTAACGATTACTCGAGACGGCGGGTTAACATGGAAAGTCTTACATCATAAAGTAGACTAGTTAAGCGATTTCTATGGTCTTCTCTATCGTCTGTACTGCAACTCTTCATAAGGTAGTTCGTTTGGACTTTAAGCTTGACATTACGAGATAAAACAAGTTGTTACGTAGTACACGATGTGGTGAGAGAACTACACTACAGGAATAGGCGAAAAAATGTCAATGAATTGTCAAACGATGTTCGTCTTGCGCTCCTTCTTGTTAGTAAAATCGCGTTTGAACGTATTTGAGCCATCATTCTGGCTAACATCTTCTACACTGCTAAATCGATGACTGTCGACACATAAAAACAACTAGTCTTTGCTAAATGAAGAACAATTTAGCGCTGTTCTATCATTGAATAATACCACCCAAACATTCTTTTCCTGCATTAACATCGTCTGTAACAGTCAATTTAACCCTTTAGGTAACAAAAACGATGTTCAAAGAGCTCCAATCGTTCGATGAAACATCATGCCTCCACCCTTATCAATGCTTAAAGCTTACGACATAGGTGTTTCAATCTAAATATCCGCCAGTGTCGGGTACGTATTGGACAGCACTCTTTCCTATTCCGTAATACATGATATAGCGATCCAAGTTTCTCTAATTATCAACTACTTGATTGGATGCGAAAGGTCTTCATACACTACACATGAGCCCAGCTATTTTTTCCATTCGATTCGTTTTCTTGTAAACGCCACTAATGGAGATGATTAGGTTACTGCTTAGTTTGCCTGCGGCCTGAAGATATTGTCTTCTCTTAAAATATACATGATGAATACTAGGGAAACATGGTTCCTCTGAATTCCGAGATATCCGTGCTAGACCGTTCTTAAGCATTCGCAACAAGGATTAGCAGTCTCAGTTTCGTAAGGAAGTTTATTTCCTTGCTATTACTATTCTTCCAAGACAGTGGCTATTCCTCTCGCGGTAACGAATTATACGATTAATCTGCAAACCGTTTTTATAACTGCTTGCTATTCATTACTCAACAAGCCAAACCGTTTTATAACTAAACGTTGAAAGTATACAAAAAGTAACTGTGAAAAAGCGCCTTTGATCCACATTTGAGAAGCAAGTTTCTTCAATAATTCGCCGTTTTCTTGATGAACAGACACCAGGTTGTTATTACAGTGTTTATTCGCAACAGCTATTGCGTTGACTACTGATCAATGACAAGGTTAACAGCAGGTCGGTGCTGAAATTTGCTACACAACTTTCTTCAATCATTGCTGGTACCTAGGTATCCAGATCACCCTTTTTCCATTCGCTTCATTGTTTTGAAACCGTCATGCACGAACAGGGTCGCATGTGTGTGGTTTGGGAAGTCTAAAGTTAATCCCAAATGTGAATCTAGATGGTTCGGAATACTGATGTGTACTTCTTGAGACGTATTCTGCAGTGTATGGAAAAGAGTTGCTAGATTAAAAAAACAAAGACGAGTTTAGTGCTGCGTACGCCAACTCATCTTCTGAATACGTCCCTCAACTGACCTGTGTGTTCCACACATCTCCGATGTGGCAGGAGTATAAACTCATTTCTTTGACGCATAACATACAGTTGTAACTTCCGCACCAAATAGTGGCAAGCTCGCAATTAGTGGTCCGATCAGTGGCCTTTGTCATAAGTCCGAAGGCAGTGCAAGTTTCTCATTCCTCTATGCTGAATTCTTCTCTTATACCGTTGTTCATATTCAGTGAACGTCGCAGGGTATACGATGGAGAACGTCTCACTAAGTAAGCTTTCTTTAAAAAGGTTATGCTTCCAAATAATTTGTCGTTCAACTTCCCATTGTTTTTTTTAACCTCAGTAAGCATAGTCTTTGCTTCTGCGGTAATGGTCGACAAGGAGACAATGCCGACGGTAAAACTAAGGTTGGAGAATCGACGTAACATTGACACTTATCCCTCCTTCGTCCCAATAGAGTTACACGGTTGTAATGAGGCGGTGAACATCGCAAGCAATACTGCGTCATCCTGACGCTTTGTTTTACTAAATGGAATATTCAGTGATCGGTGAAGACTACCCTGTAATAATTACTGGAATCAACAAGGCTTTCTAAGCAAGGAGGGTCCAAGCCTTGATTAACTAAGGTGGAAGAGATTGTTTTGGCTCTACAAAAGCTTTCCCGCTGTTAATGAAGGCTAGGACAAGGTATACGAAATCCTTTGCAAATCTCCACGACTACCGCGAATACCTAGATGTGAACCATGCACCTAAATCCGCTGAGAAACCCAGCTCCTTCAATAGACCCGACTTTGTGAAAATTCTACAAAAACCAACTAGGCTATTTAGTGATAGTTACGAAGTCATCCATACTACCCTATTCATAGCAATTGAGTGGACATTAAGTGTGGGCTATCACCAAAGGAACTATGCACTCCATTTGCACATGTTCGATATTGAAGCGATCTAGCAGATACCTTTAAGAACTTCACTTATTCATGCTACGCATAAATGTTGCTTCATGGTTTCTCTCCACTTTTGTAGACATAAAGTGTGAGAAACCACTTAAGAGTTCGCCTTTAGAAAGCACGGCAATCATATCGGCAGGATATCACCGTTTGTTTAACATACGTTAGCATTGTCACAACAGTGCTCTCACATTCGGTCAAATTGGTTTTCGAACATTTGGTAGGTGCTACGGTATCTTTATCTTAAGGCATCAGTAGAAGTTGGAGCTTTCTAATTCTCTGCCCATTTACATAATGTTTCGTTAGTTTCTCTCACTATATTTTCTAGAATCAAACACTTTTCTGAAGTCTATTGTTTTTCGCGCTTGGTTACCCTGGAATACCAGACTTCATAGACTAGCCGTAGATACTCATCAGCTTTTGTATATTAGGAGATCACTTCAGAATCGATTACTAAGCCATAGATAAAAGAAGTTATTAGTGCACAAGTGGAGACAAATATACAAGACATGCTGGGAATTTGTTATTTATTCCCACATGTGAGATCGCTCTGGACAGGTCGGCAACGCTCTCACACCGCAACCTCGTGATTTCAGAGATAACCACACTCAATCAGGAGTTCAAATAACATAAGAACCCTAACAACTGCATGAATAACGGCTAGAAGACGAATCGAATGCAAAGGCTCTACTACCGGTACATCATCTGAAGACAACATCCATGTATCTAAGCAGGCATATAAAACAAATTTCCCGAGTCCTATATGGCTCACAGTATCGTTATACTGTTAGAGATTATTACAAACGCGTCACTTTCCTAATCGATTATGGACATCTAGTAAAAGCACGTCAGCCAAACTACGCGAGAAAAAAGACAGCTATTCATTGCCTCGAAAGGAAAGACCATCCAGAAGAAAAGTGCAGTAATTAGAAACAACGAAATACCTCATGCACTCAATACTGTGAAATACTACTGGTACGAAAATGCAACACCTCGTCCATATTTACACCAAACTGCTTCTCCGATGAGAACTTTTCAAGAATGTCCACAATGGTATCCGTATCTCTAAACCTCAAAAGGGCCAACAGAGTTTTACTCAATACTGCCGTTAATAAGTCCTGTACGAAAACCTATTCAAACATCACGCGTTTCAATATTGGTCATCGAGTTACCTCACCGGACACCAGTAGTCTTTATGCATTCCTATCGTGTTCAGACAGCAACCATTAGATTAGTGTGGATAAAGGATCAAAAAAGAACTTAATAGGGAAATCTGTGTCATTGGGAAACACCAAAACATTTCAATGGTTCCTACTCCAATTAATGAAGTCCGAGTTAAGATATGTATGTCCAAACTTGGAAGACGCAATGATAATACGAAACGGTTGTTGTTGATGAAAGTAATTTCCTAAGACCACCGACTGACAAACACAAAAAACCGTTCAAGTGGTCTACATAAATCCACTGCGAGAGTCCCGTCAAAAAGAAGCACATCAAATCCATCTGAAGTTAAGTTTTGCATATGCCATGTTACTGCTACTTAGTGAAACTTACATAATTCTCAACTTAACAATTCAGACTATAGTACCTAGTACTTCCTCAGCCTGAATCACTAACTCCAGCGTAACGTTCACGCACCTAAGGTTTCTTTGCTATTGGAACCATTGATGCACCTGACGCATAGACCTTGTCAAAATATAACAGGAATTTTTCACCTGTGATAAACAATTCGTCTACATTTCTATAATGCTGAGATATTTGCAAAAAACCGGACCGAAGGCGTCTGCGGTGGAGAACGGACACGCTATTATCCTTTTTTATCTACTGCCTATTCTTTTTTATGGCAGGGTATGTTGCAAAGTATAACTTCTATAATGCTTATTCACTGCCTTGAAAAAATTAAGATTGTGATTATAACTATAACTTCAGCTTAACTGGATTCAATGCCGATTTGGGCTGCCCAGATCAATCCCGTTGACGGGTGATTGCTAATGGCAATGCCAATGCCAGATCAATAGAACTAGTTGAGAAACACGTGAAACAAAGAATCCACATGGTGTGGTGTGGTGAACGCGCTACTCCCCGGAAAGGACAATAGCTCGTTCGTTCCCCACCGCAGACACCTGTTGTCCGGAGTTTTGCAAATATCTCAGCATTATAGAAGTTATACTTCGCAACATACCCTTCCATTAAAAAGAATAGGCAGTAAATAAAAAAGGTTAAAAATTCCTCTACATATTATCAATCACTTCGAAAAATGAGATAGTTCTTAACAATTCCCAGCATATTTTGTGAGATGCAAAAGACAGTGAAAACCTAAGGAAAAGAGAGAAGTAGAAGTTAGGAATCTCAACTACATTAATTTACACGAGAGAATGCCCGCTTCCATGACTTTCGTATTACACCAGTGACCATTACTAGACATTTCACAAAGAATGAATATTCATTTCAAATTAACAAGTAACAAATAACAAGTACAATCACGCCGTCTCAGAAGGCATGCTGCGGATGATATCGGAGTCACCTGCATCGGTGACCGACAGTGTACACACATGGTACAGCTTACCACAAGCAGTTCCAAGCTCAATATTGTTGCCATTGTAATGGTGAACACCAGTTTTGGCTAACATAGCATAATACTCTATCTCAGACTTCCTGAAAGTAGGCCTAAATCAGAACGCTTAGAAATTCTAAGCAATTTTTATATTCCAGAAAGAGGAAATTTATAAACAACATGATGAAATAAGTCGACCATTTTAACTTCACAATCGGAGAAGGCTCAGAAGTAACTGTTTAATACAACACTTCCGTTTACATGCAACATTATCACATACAAACCAGGCGCTTGTATGTGCAGTACTTCATCCAAAACCATTAGTTACACTTAAAAACCATGCAAGAGCTTTTCCATCAGAACTGAGAAATTCCTGGAGACGTTACAACTTAAACTCAAACAGTGAAAAATTTCGTCCCAACAGTTTACCACCTCAACATAGCTAGAAGCTATTCCTGGGTGTTGGACTGCGATGTACAGCAGCGGGATTCATACTCCGGCAGTATCTCCCAAGCTGAGGAGTCCGGCGTTCCCATCAGCAACCCCAACTAAGGATAAATTAATACTAGGATCTGCCACCGTCCTGGTATCAACTGGCCGCACGGTGGCATATCTCCCTTTGACTCGAAAGGATGGTGAGTGCCTTAGGTGGTGACGACCTGGGGTAGACTTTGGGCAGGCTGTCCTCGGGACTCCAGGGAACCACAATGGCTAAACCAACAAATCTCCGGAGAATGGAAATTATGCTGGGGCTTGAGCAATTGATGAAGACTGGACATTCAAGTACCCAAGTAAGCAATGAAAAATCTAAATGAGCTCACTGCTTCAAGTAAGCGAGCAATCAATAACGATATGACAAGCCAACCACAAACGATCAATAACAAGTCTCAAGTATCGAACAACTACAATTCGTTCCAAATTGGTAAGAAAGAATAAGTAGACACACTTTTTAAGATTACAAACAATTAAACAAACTAGCAAAGCTACCTGAGTGGAGGAGTGTTGTTAGCGATGATCACTAACTTCGCCTTTCCATTCCGTAAAGCTTTCAGCGTTTGTTTGTAACCCAACACATACTTTCCAGTTTTCATGACCATGGACAGCCGAGTGTTAATGTTCTCAGCATTTTTCTTCACCTTGAATGAAAATATCGTTTCTCGCGAAACAAAGTGACAACTGAATACAAATAGCTAAACCAACTTCAGATGAAAAGCTATGAATGTTCCCACGATGTTAGTGAAGCTACTTTCCTGAGCTTAACATTGCTTTTCGCATGGTAGCTTCACATATTTCCTTTTCCCTTTTATAAAATTGAGCCTCTAGCATATCAAATCATGAGACAGTGAGCATGCAAATTGTTTCGCTTACCCTCAGAAACGGAAATCCAGCGTATTTCCACTGGCATAAGAGGATAAAAAGGATAAAGCTTTCGGCGATGGTCATTCTCTAAGGGAAGTGCCATGAAGTGAACTTCATTAAGCATCGTTGAAGGTGATTGAAGGCATACCTGGTCTTTACAATGACTAGCGGTGGCCCACCGATGTACTGAACCAGTGCTGCTATCCTCCCAGATAAACCCGGTACCAATTTGCCAACTCTGGAGTGATGGTAGCCTTGGTGAGTATGGGGAACCGGCATCGATCCGTTGTGTATTGCAGGACCCCTACGACCACTGCGCTACACGCGCTCCTATTTCGTTGGTATATTTTCTTTTCACCAGCATATTACTGATAATCAAAAATTACGAAGAAGATACTACTACATACCGGGCAGGAGAGCGGATGCACCCTACCACTTAGCGAAAGTTACATCCTTCTCAATTAGACAATTCAGACTCCAGCATCTAGGACCTTCTCAGTCCGAATTACTAACTCCAGAGTAACTTTCACGCACCTGAGGCTTCTTTACTATTGGAGCCATTGATGCACCTGACGTACTCTAGAACAAAACAAATCAAGACAATCGACATACGAAACAACAAAAGGCTTTGGACCAAGCAAACATTACTTAACGCACGTAAACTTGAAAGGACCACAACAATATGGACAAGAAAGCGCCAACAACAAAGGAAAGAAGGAAACTGAACAACGCACGTCGCACGAAATAGGACGATTTGTTCTCTGCGCCAGAAACTCGCTTGCGGTGTCATTCCACACGGGACCCAACTCGGCGTGACGTCGTGCATCGCGCTAACTCGTACGACGATGAGTCCTTTAGTTTTCTTCTCGGGGCCCTATTTTGGGCCCAAAACGACCAACCAAAGAGGATAGAACTCAAGGCCTAAGCCAAAAATGGCCACGTGGACTCCATGATATGCAGTGGATTCATGGTATAGGTGCCTTCTCTTTTCTGTTTCTTTAGATTTCCCTGCACTCAGTCATGTTGATGCATCAAGTGGTTGTGTTTACGGATTATATCATGGACGTTCGACCGAAAACGTGCAACCAAGTCAAGTATAGTTAAAAAAAAAGGATAAAGCTCGGCGTTGATCAATCCTTGAGGGATGCGCCATGCATTCGACTTCATTAAGCATCGTTGGAGGTGATTGAATGCATATCTGGCCTTTACGATGACTCGCGGTGATCTACCAATGTATCGAGCCAGTGCTGCTATCTTCCCAGACAAGTCTGGTACTAATTTGCCGACCCCGGAGGGATGGAAGGCTTGGTGGGCTATGGGCGCGGGGATCGATTCCACGTGTGTGTGTCGCAGTGGCGCCTCCAACCACTCCGCCACACGCGATCAAGTCAAGTATATGGGAAACAAAGCAGGATTCCTTCTAACGAACACATTTCGTGTCTACTCTGAATAAGCGCTCTAGTGAGCAAATTGATTGTTCATTTCAGTTAGCACTGTGGTTTCTTTTCCTCCTCTGTCTTTTCTTCTTATTTTTTTTACAGTCTTTCTTCCTTTTTCTTTCCAGACAGAAATAGCAAAACGGATCTGAATTAATCATATTTACTGGTAATCCACTTTGAATGTCGGCATAGTAAAAGTGCAATCAAACTATCGAAGACACTTCCTAATGGGCAGGTACCAGGAGTACCCTGTCTTGAGAAAGTATTACCTGTGTCACCTATACCTTGCACAAGGGAAATACGGAGAGATATTAGGGAACGCAAATCGGAGGAAAAGCCTGACATGACCAAAAATCAAGAACTACGCTGAGTATCCACGGATCTTTGTCATGGAGAGATCGCCTGCAAGTTAGTCGCGAGGCAACCTGATGCGTCCCCAGTTGGTGGATACGTTCCTGTAAGGCAGGTGGATCGAGGTGATGGACTCCCTCTTTCTGCTGCGGCGATTCGGCACATACCTTCTATGCCTGCGAGAGCGTACTCAGGCATTCGTGTATGTTTTCTATGCGGATGTATTCGAGAGTCAATTAGGCCAAAAGCTTAGAATCAAATAACAAGGAATTATATTGGAGACGGCTAGCAGTGACCTTTAGCAAATAAGCTTTCTCCATTACTTTGGGAGAGATTGGCAACCTGCCATTGAATATACTCAGCCACCACATTTCAAATTCTTTAAGCTATACGTGGGTATCGAAATGCTAAACACAGTAAAATAAATGGGGTTCATTCCCCTGACTCCGAAAGAGTCCCTAGTTTCGCAGCGTTGGGTAGAACGAGTACGGAGAGACTGCTAAAATCTCAGGACCAATGGAAGCTGCTGCCTAGATTACAAAGAACTATGGTGACAACCTGTACCTACAGTGCGTGTACACTTGCATCCGAGTCCTCGATAGAAGACTTCCTCACGCAAGCAAGAAGGATAAGGTACGACGTCATCGAGGAGTCGGCGGCGTCGGCGTTCTCGTCAACACGAGTTTGTCCATGAACATCGATTCATTCGAACAGCTTACAACCCGAATCGGACGTTTACAAATAAAAAGATATGGATCAATTCCGGCTTTGACAATCTTCATCGTTTGCGCGCCGACATGAAAATACGGCGAAGAAGAAGTCGAAGCGTTCTATATGGACTTGGAGAAGTTCTACAGAGAAGACAACACATTCTTCAAGGTCATCACTGGGGATTTCAACGCCAAGATTGGACGCAAACGAACGGACGAAAAACGTTATATAGAGACCCACGGATTGGAATGGGACGAGCAGGATGGGTATCTGTCTGAATTTATCGTGACGACCAAGGCCATTCATGACAATTCTTCCAAAAATCCCGCGCTCAACACTTGGCTTGGGGGTCTCCCAGTAGAGAGTACCATAACGAAAGAGACTACATCATAGTAAATCCAAAGTGTTTCCTAACTAATGTCGCATTGCCTCGAATTTTTACACGGGATCAAACCATCGCCTCTTTGCAAGATTTTATTCCTCGCGGAAATGAGAAAAAGCCGATGCATTCAAAAAACGTGGTCCCAAGACCACCATAAACTGGGATTTATTCTGCTCATTAGTCGGCTTTTGGGAAGATGTCGCTCTCCATAACATCGGCGAGGAATACGATCAGCCCATTAAACATCCTCACTTTAGCGCTATTAAAGCTGAGAGTTCGGACGTCACCAAGAGACATCTGTCTCCAGAAACAACCAAGCAGATACGCCAAATTTGGAATCGCACGAGCCATAGGCAATCCCCCAACGATGTTCGAGTTTCCAAAAAAATGCAGACAAACGGTAGGAGAAGATCTTAAAAAGAGAAAAGCATCCCTTACGGTCGAAGCTACAGAGGCAGCCAAAAGCGTTCTCAAATCTAACCGAAACTTCTCCAATTACAAGATAAATATAATTGCACTTCGCCGGCCAGCGGGAGCAGTTATACTGCCATATTTGATAACGCTTGTGTTAAGATTGCTAATCCAGTAAATCTCACGAAATGATGTTCATGAGGAACGGATTAGTTTCGTATGCAACATTCACGCTCAAGCAGGATGAAGAATCATTCATCTTAACTGGACGTGTGGAAAGGACTATGCTACGAGTACCTCTTACCACGCAAGCGAAGGAAAGGCTGCGAGGTTCCAACCTACTTCAGCGATCAAAAATCAAATATGCCGTTGTATACGCCAAATTATCGAAGATAAGCTGGGCTGGACACATAATGCGCGTGAACGACAACAGATGGACAACGACTATTAGCTACTAGTTTAACCCTTTTATTTACTGCCTTTTTTTCTTTTTTAATGGCTGGCTATGTTGTGAAATATAACTCGTATATAATGCTGAGATATTTGCAAAACTCCGGACCGCAGGTGTATGCGGTGGGGAACGAACGCGCTATTGTCCTTATCGGGGAGTAGCGCACTTCACCACCACACCATCCGGGTCCATCGTTTTGCCTGTCTCTCAGCTAGTTCTCTCGCCGCATACACCTGAGGTCTGGAGTTTTGCAAATATCTCAGCATTATATACGAGTTATTGGCTACTAGGTTTGCTCGGGGTTCTAACGACACAACAGGAAGATGGTGAGAGTTCTTAACGAAAACCGTAGAAGAAAGATATGGTGGTAAACTACTCCATAGAGCAAGCAGAACGCGCGGGGCTACTACTCCGCGTCCCAAGGAGTAATCGGAGGTTTAGTTGCGTTTGCTTCAGTTACTCGACAACCAGCAGAGCCGCAGGTGTTAGATGACTTCTTTTCCGCATTGGTCCCGACAGCATTCGTCGTGGTTGCTTCTATCTGCTATGCACGAAAAAGTGATGCCAGCTCAGGTCCGCGGAGTTTTCCGTACTGCATCATTGTCGTCCAACTATTGCATAGGTCGACTGTAATTATACAGAAGTCGTTTTTTGTACTCGATTACCACATTGCAATCACATTCAGTTATTCTCACAGTTATTCTTTTGCGTAGAAAATATGCAGGACAGACTTCATAACGGCCGTTCAATTCATGAGACATCCATGTATCAAGTTATTTCACTTCCTGGCTCAGTTAAGGTATTGCGAAACGCTTATTCTACTTACGCCTAGTTCTTCCATAAGCTCGGGAACCGTTGTAAACTTCCATGCTCTCATACCTTTCTCGAAATTTTAGAAAGTGTTTTACCGTGTCAGTTAACAGCTCCTTCGCCAGATACAGCGTTGATACCGTGAGTCGTCTCTTCTTCCTTATCTGCAACTTTGCACCGGCAAATTAGGGTTCTCGATTCTGTCCTTCCCTATGTTTAACAGAGAGGCTAATGGGATACTGGAATGGGACAACGTGAGAGTGAAAAATAGATAAAAACTGGACCACATCCACACGATAACAAGACTCACTGAAGTAATTCTTCGTATTCTTGCTGAGCAAACGCGAGGTGTTATTTTATTCTTTACTCACGAACAAACTGACGTTTCGGCGGATTTCGTCTTCCTCAGAGCCTGGAAAGGTCAAGTTGACAGCAATCTATTCGGCCAAACACCTCCATAACCAAACAGAGAAAATGCTAAACCAAGATTCAATCACATTGAACACATAATAGCTTCTTTGCACACTCATTTCACTAGCAAGAATTAATGGGAAATTGAAGATTTGAGATCGTTGTAGAGACTGCACTTGCACTATGACGCCAAGGGAATGTTTTAAGTTTCTACAGTGTTATCTTCATTTTAAGTTCATTTGAAAGGTAGACTTTAAAGAGAAAACCAGGTATCATCTTGGCAGGAACATGCATCAAATCATCGATGAAAACCTATACATTCCGACACTCTCGAGCACATATGGTGCCATAAAGGTAAGTCAGTAGCTCAAAATTTGGCTACCTCAATGGAAGAACGGGATCTGCTCTAGTTACTATTACAGAAACCAGATTCAGTGCTCTACAACTCTTAAAGAATATTCTAGATCTCGAGCATGAACGGAACACATGAAGACCACTTTGGTCTTAATCGATTGCTTATCGAGGATGACAAGAAAGAGATCTTAAATGTCAACGATAATGTCGAACCTCCTCAGCTTTCTGCGTCTGGAGAGAG